TAATACAGCGTCTTGTGTGTTATTTGGGGACTACAACGCGGCAGAGCCCAGGCGACTAGTGGGGAAAAACCAAAGTGGCTGGCAAGGAAAAGGCTTCGTTCAACACAGTAGGAAGTCTGAGCCATCGGCAAGGCAATTATAAACAATACTAAACCTCAGAGTGCTATTTTATAAGAGGCTGTGGGACAGAGAAAGACACATAAGCTGCTGTGGGGACCAATGAGTGGGACCAGGTTAGACAGAGAAACACTTCCAGATACAATCAGCAAATTTTCTGAGCATCATATAGGGTGAGGTCGGATCAGGAGTCAAGACTCCTGGCAGACGGAACAGCAACCACAGGGCCTTAAAGGTGGAAACTCACCAGATAGGTTACAAGAGCACTAAGACTCAGTCCGTGATGGATACGCTGGAAGGCCAGGGTGGAGCAGGGCGAGATTCCCCACCTGGAGGTGAGGAGGATTTAAAAGGAAGGCCGAGGAGTGACCAGTGAGTCTGGGAAAAACCTTGCCTAGAGAAAACAAGCTCACAACTTCGTCCTGGGCTTGGCGACCGTGTAGACAGAAGGCGTGGAACGCAGGGCTAAACTCACAGTGTTTGACAGCAGTCTATATATCTGGTTAATGATTGAGAATGAGTGAGTGAGTGAGTGAATGAATGAATGAACCATCCCTCCGTATGCATGGAGAATGGATTTCAGTACCCCCACTGGGTATTAAAAGTCCCAGATTCCCAAGCACCCTCTCGTCATTGTTAATTCTAATCCTCCCTACCTATCATGTATGCTCGCCCTTGGCTTACTCAAAATACCCCACAGAATGTAAATGCTAGGCACACACTTGTGACACTGTGCGGATTAGGGAAGGACAGGATAAAAAGGTCCGCATGGGTTCGGCTCATACGCAATTTCCTCTTTAAAAATTTGAACCTGTGGTTACTTGACTGCCCCTGTGGCTAAGGCAGGCTGTGGGAATTAGACTGAATTAGATAACAGTATTTGTTTCTTTGTTTGTTTGTTTCTGAGATAGAGTATGTGATACAGGCTAGCTTTGAACTCATTATGCATTCCAGCCAGGCTTTAACTTTGCAGCAACCTTCCTGCCTCGGCCTCCCAAGAGCTGGGAGCCCAGGGCTGACAGGCAGGTGCCACTAAGCCTAGCCAGGCTTGCTAGAGTGGTTTTGGTTAAACTGTGCTCTCCTAAAATATGCGTTAAAGTCCTGATCCCCAGACCCCAAGAAAGTGACACTGTTTGGAAAGAGTAAGCTCTTGATTTAACTCATCGAGATGACGAAGCCACACGGGAGGAAGGAGATCCCCTAGTCTGACGTGACTGGTATTATCATATGATGACTGGTATTGTCATATGATGACTGGTATTGTCATATGATGACTGGTAACGTCATTTGATAACTGGTAACGTCATATGATGACTGCTAACATCATATGATGACTGGTATTGTCATATGATGACTGGTATCGTCATATGATGACTGGTAACGTCATTTGATAACTGGTAACGTCATATGATGACTGCTAACATCATATGATGACTGGTATCGTCCTATGGAGGAGAAATCTGGGTACGGACTCGAGTGGGATGAACAGAGACAGAGGAAGACACCACCAGGAGAAGGCGAGGGAGGGAGTCACACGGGAAGACACCATCAGGTGGTGCCAAAGGAGAGAGCCCACCACATGCCCGGCAAGGGTCCAGACTCACATCTGCTGAACTGGGGGTGGCGATGGGACACTCCCGTGCGGATGTATGGAGTAACACGTTGTCACAGGGGGCACAGTAAGGCACATACCCACATCTGGGATTCGTTGGCAGAGGTGAGAATTGTCAAGTGTGGACACGCTCTGGGGGTTGATGCCTGAGTCCAAAGCGGGCAGCAGCGTGCCTGAGTGGTGGCGTGTGCCCACAGTTAGGGAGCAATGGAGGTGGTGGCATCAGGAAAAAAAAAACAAAACAGGAGGGAGGGCAGAGGGCCGGGAGAAGAGTGTGGCAGCAGAAAATTCTAGCACGACCAAGACGGTACCGAGAATAGACCCAGCAAAGAAAATGGTGAAGTGGAGAATGTCAGCGAGGGACCCTGGGGTCATGCTACAGCACCGACTTCCAGGATTAAGTGACATTCGATGGGGAGGGAGGCAGGGAGGAGGTGAGCACAGGTGCATCGCTGGCCTGTCCAGCTGCACGGAAACCAGGCGAAGGGAACGTGAACTTACTATATATATGAAAGTGCAATCAATGACTCGTGGGATCCCTAAAGCGTGTACTTGTGCTGAACCCCACGACGCTAACGGCTGATGGGGGATGTCCTTCTGTGTATATGTCTCTCTTATTGGTTGATGGATAAAACACTGACTGGCCAGGCAGCAAGATAGCCGTGTCTAGGAGACGAGGAGAATTCTGGGAAAGGTAGGCAGAGGGAGACCACCAGACTAAGTGGTCATGTTTCCAAAGGAGCGACACCATGCGGGGCATAACAGAGTAAGCCACAGCCTGGTGGCGATACACAGATTGACAGAAATGGATTAATAATTAAGACAGAGTTAGCCCCTGGCCAACGGTTATAACTAACACAGTGTGTGTGTGTTTCTTGGGGGTTGAGGCGGCTGCGGATCCAGGCTGCCGGGACTAACAACTTCTCATAATAAACGGTTGACTTTATTTCTTCTAGAATCACATGAGCTACAGGCACAGTGCCACCCTAAGCCAAAATCACCCTAAGCCAAAATCATCATTGTGACAGCAATCTTAGTGAGTGGTCATATAATATTGGCATAACATGAGGGAAAACCGTAATACCGGGCATGGGTGTGCAAGTCTTTAATTCCAGCCTTTGGGAGGCAGAGGCAGGCAGATCTCTGTGAGTTCTAGGCCAGCCTGGTCTACAGAGCAAGTTCTAGACCAGCCGGTGCTACATGGTCAGAAGCCCTGTCTTAAATTAAAAAAAAAAATCAACAATAAAACAAAGTAAAACAAATACTTCATCTAGCTTGCTTTATCCCTATGATTTCTCTCTTGTTTAAGTTTTAAAAATTCTAGTATATAAACATGTTCATTCCTGGGGGTTTCCATGTTAAAATTTTCAATGTACTAAAACTTAATACATATGACTATTGCCAAGATAGCAGGAATTCTAAAATTGATTACAACAGTGTATTCCACAAGGGGAGCTGAGATTTGAAAGAATGGACAGTATTCATCAATATCGATTTTGGGGTCACTCTGACCTGAGATCAGGTCCTTTCTCCACCATTTAGAAGTTTGTTGGTCACAAATGAAATATTTAGGTTTTTGAGCCTATATCCACATGCACCACACTGATCTAACATATTTATCTAGCAAGGTTATTAGATAGAACAAAAGTAACTGGCCCATAGCCGGCACTGTATGGCTACAACGATTACTACTGAAAAATTTAAAAATGTCTGAGATTGTACTTGTAAATCAGGTCAAAACTAGACACACAGTTTACAAAATATCCAAGTAATTATTGCAAATAATTAGCTTCGATTTAACAAGCCAGCAGCAATTAAAGCACTTGAGTTTCAGGTCAAAGTCAATTACATAGTTTGGTATGGTTTTAAGAAACTTCTCACTGTTTTCGTTCTGAAACTCATATGCATCAGGTAGCTTATTTCGAGTATCCCATCAAATAATGGGACCTTTTTCTTTCATCTCAGAAGGAACTGAAAGGCAGGGAAAGGCAAATGGTTTCTCCATTTTTTCTTTCTTTTTCCTGTGAGGCCTTGTACTTCCACGGTCACGCCCGTCTTGAAGTTCCTGCAGAGAACGCCCTGCTTTTAAACCCCACTGTGCTACCTACATCTGGGCCACAGGTCAGGGTACACAGGCTAAGTGCTGTAGAGCTTTCCAGGGCCAGCGGACACAGTACACACCCAAAGGGCAGCACCACACCCCATTCAACCATGTACGGGCAACCCATCTGAGAGGCCGGCATGCTTCTGTGACAGGTTTTTATTGGTCATCTATTATACGTGATGCCATCCTAGGCTCTGGGGCAGGCCTCGGTGGTCTCAGCAGATACCGGCTGCCTCCCAATGCAGCCGTGGTTCTCACCGAAGAGAGGGCGTAGACGGATGAGACACCAGCAACCAAGAAGGTGTCTAGGCCCCTCTGCTGCTGGCATTAGGGAGCATGGCGGCCTGGGGAGGGAGGGGAAGGAGGATCCCGGGCCTGGTGGAATTTGGAATTTGGTAGAGAGCTTCACTAATAGGCTAATACGCTTTGGAGAAGCTGCGGAAGGGCGCGGCAGGACAAACTGTTCACAGCATTGGGGCAAAGGGAGAAAAAACAAAAAACAAGAGCCCAGAAGCGAAGCCTGCTGGATGAACTGAGAGAGGAGTGAAAACCCTGGTGGCCCCAGTACCAGACAGCAGTCAGAGGAAGCAGGCGTAGGCTGCAGACACATCTCCCTGGACCAGACGGCTACCTTCCACGAGGTGAAAAGCCACTCAAAAGCCCAGAACAGGGAGACGTGAAATCTGACTGGGGTACCAAAAGAGTCACACCGTCTTCCCGGAAACTAGCACTCCTGTGACGTACGTGCGTGCGTGCGTGCGTGCGTGCGTGTGTGTGTGTGCGCGCGCGCGTGTGTGTAGCGTGCCAGTTCAGCTATGTGGGCTGGCGAGTGAGCCCCGGGGATCTGCCCGTCTCTGTCTCCCTCATGCTGGGCTTACAGAACCATGCGGCCACACACGGGCTTGGCTTCCACTTGGGTGCTGGTGCTCTGAACTTACCACAGCCCATCACCTAATTTTCATTTAGAAAGGTAATAGCCGCATTTCTAAACTGTTCGTCTAAAGAGTTTCCCCAAGTACTCTGAGACTACTTCCAACAGAAATTAGCGATACAGTTTTAAACGTTGGTTTTGGTTTTTCCCGTTTAAAAGCTGAATTCAACTGTTTGAGAAAACTGAAACCCTTCGTCTCAATAAACATTAGAGTTAATTCATGTATTTCTTTCCAGATGTTCCCATTTGCAAAACAGCCCAGATTAATTCCCCGAGAGTTACAAGGAAAGGAACCCGAGCAGAAATTTCCCAAACATGGCAGCCAGGAGCGAAGGCATCGTGCGCACTACAGAGATGGGGTTAATCTGGTCAAGGTCCAAGCCCTGGCAGCTGATGAATTCTCGGCTGTAAAAACAGTTCTGTCCAGCTTGGCTTCCGTGGAGTCACCCTTAACTTGCAGAGCGGGGCTCCAGAATGTAAGCTGTGCTTGGTGGAAACTGCTGACGGGACGCCGGTTCGCAACCAAACTGGGACCTTGAGAACAGGATCACAGCCCCGGCACACTCTTCCCTACTGGCTGCAGCCGGGCAAGGGCGGAACCAGGCTCAGACGCACTGCTGGAACCACGATGCTGCGGTTTTTTCTAAGATAGCTCTTAGGAAAGCGTTTTTTACATGCACCGCTCTCCTTCCAAACACCTCAACAAACTATTTTTTCAACACCCGCAGAATTTGTTTCAGCACGTGCCTACGGAAGGTTCAGTAATATGCGCAAACATGACAACAAGGGGAATAAAAAGCGTGTGGTCCCTTTATGGGCGACGACGCCAGCAAAGATTCCTCTCACAGTTACAGATACCCCCACGATGCTCATAAGATATCTGTCAGCCAATGGCATTGAAATCTCAAATACTATTATTATTATTACTAACTATTATGTTAGTGCCGTGATTAATTTGTGGCATCAAGGAGCTTCCCTTTAAGCCCGTCATCACAATCTACAGGAACACTTGCCGAGGGGCCAGAAAACAGCATTGCTGCTTTCTGACATGTCCAGCCCTGGACATAGCCCATGGGCCTAGGTGTGGGGAGTCAGGCAGAATTCACAGCAAGCTTGTGAAGTAAGAACGGTGTCAACCCCAAATGAGAGGAAGCAGAAGGGGGAGGATAAAATGACTTTTCTGTGAATGAGGGGGGCAGGGTCCAGGGATGGTCCGTTGACAGCTTTTATCCGCAGCTTCACGGACAGGACAGTGCCATCCTGTTTAATACACAGCTGGATACTCTTCAGCCCAAATGCTTCAGGCTAGAAGTATGTCAGACTCCCCCTACCCCCCAGATTTTTTTTTTTGGTTTTACAGGGTTTCTCTGTATTGTTTTGGAGGCTGTCGGTCCAGCCCGGCCTCGAACTCACAGAGATCCGCCTGCCTCTGACTCCCGAGTGCTGGGATTAAAGGCGTGTGCCACCACCGCCTGGCCACCCCCCAGATTTTAAACCTTTTTTTTTCCCTCTTTTAATTTTGACTAACTCATCCCATGAAGTTGGATGTAGAGTCTTATCCTGGTAGAATTACGTCAGCGATTTAAAAGTTTATGAGCTTTGGAGGTCTGAATGAAGGATGATCAATCCCATGTTAAATGAAAATGTAAATAGCTTTGGGAGGACTAGCCTCGCCATTTTTTGAGCTACTCTTTTCTGTATCTTTGAGCTGTGTGTTCTGTTGTGGGACTTATAATCTTTTTTTTTCCCCGATGCAAAAACAAAGAGTATTTTATTAAAGTTATTTCATGAGCTAACCCCATTAGCTCGGGTCCTTCACCCCGCTACCATGGCGGATGGCTAGAGAAAGACCCCTAGCAGCCTCGAGGCAGGGATCTTAAAGGGTAGCTTAAGGGGAGTGTCTAGGGGTCTGAAACAGTGTCAGGATTGGTGCGCTTCTAGGCTTGGATGACCTGCCCTGTGTTGATTGGTCAACTGGTTGTTATGGCCCATAGGCCCTCCCAGGGCGGTTGCTATGCTCTACACTGCACTGTTGTGCACTGTCCATAAAGCACACTCAGAGCCGTAAAGCACAGCCCTGCCAGCCAACTTCTGATTGGCTTCTTGCCACGAGGAGGGCATCTGACCTTAGTGACCAGGACAGGAGCCTCGAGTTCATGCAAGTACAGGGTAGCCTGTCCTGGCTCCTAAAACGGGGAGGCTGGTCACTACATTCCCCCCTTCTCGAAGTACCCATGACAGGACTTAATCCTGGGGACTTAAAATCTTAAAAAAAAAAGAAAGAAAGAAAAAGCAAAAAGGGTCTGCAAAGTGAACATTGTGGTGTGCTGGCAGTGGTGCACACCTCAGCTGTTTCCACCAGCCCTTACTCTCACTACCGCAAATCACAAATGACCCAGGGAGGGTAGGGTGGGCGGTGAGGCCCCCCTTTCCCCTGCGCCTGTAGGCAACGTTCACATTCTTTGCGGTTTGACAGCTCAACGCGCACAGCGTCGCACGAGACTTCGGCCACTTGCAAGCCCACAGCTCCCAAAGTGGGCTGACGGCCTGAGGCAGTACACGGGATGCTCCCACACTCCCAAGAGGGGTGCCCCGGGACGCTTCTGAACGTGAATCTGAAAGCCTCTTTTCACTTGGCTGATGCTCGCTCAACGGTCCCATCACTTAAATTTGGTGCTACTCCGTGATGTCATTCACGTCCTGGAACCGAGGGTGGCCCTGGTGAACCCATGATGATGGTTGAATTGTAGGGATCGGGGCTCTGGTTCCGAGGAAGCCAGGGTATCCAAAGGGCACTGAGCCTTGGTAGGCTGCGAATATTTCTCCTATACTCCTCTAACTTTAAGAAACTTGCAAAAACGATGGTATTTAATATTATTCTTCAACTAGAGAAGGGATTCCAGATGACCTGAGAAGTGAAGGGCCTCATCTTTGACACATTCCTCTTTCACTGGGTATTTTTTTTTTGTAGTAATGTTAAACAAATGACTATATACTTTGGCAATAATGAAATGAAAATTCAAAAACTACCCTCCCCTTAAAAGATGTCATGAGGGCAAGAAATGTTAAGCTGTTTAAGTCAAAAACATCAATATGCTTTTCTAAATGACAAAGCCTGAGATGCAGCCTCTCCTCTGAGGTGGCAAGGTGGGTGATCTCAAGTGAGTCACTGGTCATGGGTTCCTGGTGACACTTCTGGAGTGACAGGTGTCCTGTGCATTCAATAGGATCTCTCCTGAGTGCCCATGTGACATGACAGACTTTGTGTGCATGATGTGAGGTCAGTGAGATATTTCTGGGTAGTGTCATCTCCCTTGGACGACCGAGGGATGCTGTCTTATATTTGGCTGGAGGTTTGAGGGACCAGCCTTAAATGTCTGCTTTTTAGAGGGAATGCTTCCATCAGTGAAGACTGACAAGGCAAACTCAGACTGCCTTTCCTTTTTTAACGAAAGGAAAAAAAATACTAATACACAAATGGACTTAAATTATTAGAGTTCAAATCAATTATGATTGATCTGTCCGGCTTTCATTTTAGTCTAGTCTAATGAGCCTTTCTGGCAAAGGACTAAAATAATGGTAGCTTATTACATAGGACACACTTCTGATTTCTCAAATTTTACTTCTGTTGGGCTTTAAGACAGAGTCTTCTGCTTTTAGTGTAGAGATAGGGTTTTCTTTTTAAAGATTTTTTTAATATTAACATTGGTTTGAAGACATATTTACAAGAGTGATAAGTTTGAATTATGTCTCTTAAGACATAATTTTTATGTGTGTATTCCTATACACATGGTATATACGTGTGTGTGTGTGTGTGTGTGTGTGTGTGTGTGTGTGCATGCATGCACATGGAGTCCAGAGGGTATGCTCTGGTGTTGTTCCTCAGATGCAACCCACCTTTGCCTGAAGCAGAGGCTCTCACTGGAACCTGCTGACTAAGCTGTGCGATCCACAGACATCCTCCTGTCTCTACTTCCCAAGCAGGGACTGAGATTACAAGTGCCTCCGCCGTGGCTGACTTTCTATTATTATTATTGTTTTTCACACGAATTCTACGTACAAAGTCAGGTCCTCACAAACTGAGCTATTTCCCTGCTCTGAGAGATATTTTTTGACATAGTATTTAACCACCTCAAACACCTGAGAATGGAGTTAGGGTCACTTCTGTAAACTCGTAGCACCATGGTTTCTCGGGTAGGCTGCCAAGAGTGTGAGAAATATTTTTAAGATTGGTGGGCACACTGGAGTTTTTCATCGGCCCAAACAGTAAGCTGTATGACTTAACCATCTCTAGCGTCACAATGTCACTGTGCCCTTAAGACTACCTTAGCCTATGTGGAATTCAGAGCAGCATAACTTTAGGGTTACAGTAAACCTCAAGAGAGATCTGAGCCAAAGCATCCCACTTCTTCCAAACTGAGCCATTGAATTCTTCCATTTCTTCAGACCCAAACTCAGCCAAGCCCAATACAACAACTGGGGTACACCAGCCTCCTCAAACATTCCTTGTCTGCCGAGAGCAGGCTCTCGTCTGAGGCTCCTGTCTTCTTTCTGTATGGCACATATCTTTCCGCCTGCACCATGGCTATTTGCTGCTCTGCCCTACTTCCCCACCAGACATGAGCTCATCAAGAGGACATCTGAGTCACACTGAGTTCTTTGATGATGCTCCTCACAGACCGTGGGTCCTCCAAGAACCCAGGTATGGAGCCTGCACGCAGTGATTTCTGCTAGCCACAAACCGTTTCAAGGGAGAATGAAAACCCTTTCAAGAAATATTTTAGGAGGGCTCTGGCTGGGAAGGAAGAGCACAAGAGGAGGCATTGAGACGTGAGACACGGTGGCGTGGCACATGAAGGTGACAGGTGCGACTTCCTCGCTTCTGCGTAACCCAGAGAAGATCAAATGTTAATTAAAACACTTACTTCCGTTGTCAACAGCCTGACTTTTATTTGAAATCCTTGGATACCTGCATGTCAGGCCAGACCAGAAATATACAACCATGTATTTTTAATGTGAACATATATATATATATAATTCACGTCTGCCTGGTACGAATAAAGTTTGAGTGAAAACAAAGAAACAAAACGAAGAAGCAGAACCAATTCTGCAGAGCTCAGTGCAAAGCCTCGTGTCGTCCCCCATGCCCCCCCAAGCCCAACTTGGCCTGGACGTGGAGTACAATGACTGTCTTACCTTGAGGGAGTCAAAACAGGCGATCACTCTTCCGTTTTCAACCTGGCAGCTTTTTGGGGGGTGAGCGAATTTGCACTCTTCATCGGAGCGCGAGCATGTTCCTCTCTGGTACTGCCTGCAGACTTCCAGTGTCAGCCACTTGGTGTCTCTCACTGGAGCAACGTTCAAGGCCATGGCGAGAACTACTCTGGGCTCTGTCCCTCTCTGTTCAAATGATGGGACCAATCCGAGGCTCGGTGATTCCCCAAACTACTGTTGTGAAAACTCCCGCATGGAAGTCTGAAGGTCAGCAATGGATTCCTTAAAGAAGTCCAGTCCAGGAGAGAGGGAGGGGACAGCGTATCAGCAGGTGGTCATTCACAGATAGGCAGGCCCCACGGGAAGACTGTGAGCCAGAAACACACCCTGCTCACTGTCATCTCTGGCTCCCAGGGCTCTAGTCTCTTGACTGTTTTGTAGACACACCTCTCCTTAATAAAGTGACTTCAGTAGGATGGCACTCTTTGGGAAAATATTGGTTCCGATGCTCACGGCTCTGCAGGATGCTGCAAAACACACCTGCCTCTCCGATCTTCGTGTTTGAGGAGGATGGCGTCTTCCTTTCCTTCGTCCTTTTTAAATTCTGAAATTAAAGGAGTAGCAGAGTCAGATCGCTCCATCCACTCATGGGGTCAGGGTAAAATGTGTTTGACAAAAACCAATCATCAATCAATCAATCAATCAATCAAACAAGCAAAAACCCCACAAGAGGTAAATACAAAGAGAGCTCTCTGAGGGCTGCTGCCAGCAAAAGGGATGTCACAAGGCCCTTTTCGATCGTGAACCTGCAAAATATAAGACATCCCCTTGCATCCAAGCTCAGAGGAATCAAGTGCTTGCTCTGTCTACGAAGCTGGGATCTAGAGTGTGTGAGAGTCTAGGTTAGACATCCGAGAAGCAGAGGGAAGTGGAGAGAGGAAGGAGAAACTGAAACACGGCAACCGTACAGCAGAATGATCCAGGCAGCAGTCCAAGAGCTAGGAGTGACTCGAACAGATGAGTGTGGCGGACACAATAATTAGGCCCTTTGAAACAACTCCATCTAATGTGCTTAATCACCAAACAGTGTATTAGAATTGTGGCTCCCAATTAATCTCACATTTAGGTCATTGATTTTATTGTTGGGAGTGCTATAAACAACTGTAGGGATGTGTCTCTCCTACAAAATGGAGGTAATATTACTTTGGATAGAGCGTGGGTTCCCTATTCCGCAAGTTCTTCTGAGTTCATAGAGATTTGATGCTGGGGTAGGCAAAGGGGGTGCCCTGATATTTGCTCTCTGAATCCTGAATACTTTCTTGCTTCTGCTACTGGCTTGGGGCCCGTCTTCCCTGCAACGTGTTGTTAGGTAAGGACGGCGGTTTGCAGTTGCCTCTTTCCCAGGTGCCTTGGTTCATGGTATCTACTAGAATCCCAGGAAGCGCCTGCTGACCAGTTGGACTCAGAACAGGATGAGTGCAAGTTAACTTGAATCAAGCGCAGCTTAGTTTTAACTGGGACGCATCCTAATCATGTCCTCTCCAGCAAGAAGAGATGGCCCAGCAGGTAAGTCGTACAAGCTGAGCGTGATCTCAGGGACCCACATTGTCCAAGGAGAGAACTGGCTTCTATGGGTTGTTCTTCGACCCACACATACCCTTCACACAAAAAAAAAGTCTAAAAATGTGGTAAACTGAAAAAAAATGTTCTCCTGTATTTAGAATGTGAAGATTAAAAGCCATGCCTACGACAACACGGTAACTTAAAGTTCAGAGGTCTAAGGTCAGCAGATTTCATTTGTTTTAATTTTTCAAGTATTATGAAATCAGTAACATTAAACTTGCATGTTAGCTAGATAAACATGGATTAAAAAACTACGGTCTGTAAATTACCATTTGCAGAAATGGCACGTGACATAAGCCAGCATATACATCAGTTCAGTCTTGATACCCTTCTAAACAGTTATAGCTAAGGGCATGGGAATAGATTAGTCATGCTAAACCCTTACAGATGGCATAAGAGACTGCCACGAAATTAGAATGGAGCTTAAAATTCCCATGGCCAAATGAGGTCTTAGTCACTCTTACCACAACGTTGAAGTGTGACGTGTTTCTCGCGAGTCTGCATGATGCTGGTGTGAGCTAGCCCACTTCAGTGCTTGTCATGAAGAACTGACACTTGATGAGGAGTGAGTCTGTTACTGGTTTGTACTACAATACCTTATGTCACTCTGAAATACAGTCTTTTCACTAACTAAAAAGTGTTCATTGTAAGTAGTATGCCATGCTTCATAACCGGCATCCTCAAACATTTGTGTTTAACACAACTCTTGACAGCATCAAAAAGGTCACATCCGGTGACTGACCTACAGCATCCGGGCCTTCAAGAGCACTGCTGATCAGGCTTGTAGCATGGGATCACCCACCTGTGCGTTTATCAGAATGTGTCCCATCACATGGTCATGCTGACGGCGTTTCAAAACAGCATGTACTAAATAAGTTCAGAGGGCAATGACTAAGTGTTTCACAAATGTTCCCAGGAACGGTGGGTCCCCCTAATTGATGAAAATTAGTTAACTCTGGGTGAACAAAGCCAAGCAGACTACCCTGCAGTCGGGCTTTCCATCCTGGTGTACTTTTATCTCTGGTCATTTAACCTTGACTTTTAGCAAGACCTCTCCTGGGATGGTGGGAACTGCTTCTGCAACCCCATAATTCTCTCATTTGTCTGTGGCAGTACTTGTTATGAGTTGGGTGCGAGTGCGTGTTTAAGGAAATGGCCAGTGATGAAAGCTGTGACACATAGCTGACATCAATTGTAAAATACTGGAGGGAGCCAGGCAGGCTCCCACTTGTCTGCTTGGTGGTGTGTGTTCGCAGAAGCAACATCAAGTAGCTTACGCTAGGGAAGCTTAAGAAGATGAGTTTAATGACCAAATTTACTCTGCATCAGGTTTCACCGACTGGCCTGGACCTGCCCCTTGAATGCCTCCATTCCACCTCCAAACCTGGCGGAGAACAAAGGGGAGGGGCAACAGCTAAGAAAATGTGCCTGGCCCTCAGCAGAGATGGGCATCGGTGACGGGGGGGGGGACCTCAGATGGTGCTCTAGACACCTTTAGTTCATACCCGGAAAACGTTATGTAGACTCCTCAAGACCTAGTCAGTTTACAAGGCAACAAAGGGAGACACATGCTCAAAGGCAGTAGAATTCCCCACAGGCTTCACAGGTGGGGCAGAAATAGGCAAACCTAGGCATTTCTCCAAAGCCACACACAGTGACACTTTCAGTCCAGAGAAAGGATTCCCACTTAAAGAGTTATGATAAGACAACCAGAATTTGGGTTTACAAACTGCCATGGCAAACTGGCCTCTAAAAATATTTATTTTCACTGGCCAATGAAACAGAACGTATTTATGGAGTATAACTAATGTTTTGAAACAGTACATATTATTAAACAAGAAAATCTACCATATGTGTAACTTCAAATACTTTGTTTTTTTCTTTGTTTTTTTTTTTTTGTTTTTACTTTTTTTCTGTCGCGAACACTTAACATCTACTGTCAGCTATTTTCAAGAACTCGGTGCCTTGTTTTTAACTATGGCTATTGTGTTATTGAACTTACCACCCTGCCAAATTGAATTTTTAAATCTTTTGACCAACTTTTCCCATTCAATAGTCCCTGGTTAATGTAACTCTACTTTTGGCTTCTAGGGGTTCCTTTCTTTTTGCAGGGGGGAGGGGTTTAAGACTGCACATGGGATATTTCTTTTTGAAGATTCTGTATGTAAATAATTAACATAAACCTGCTTTTAAGAACAGGGCTGGCCAGCTTTCGACGACAGCTACTTTACGTTAAAAGAAAGGGGTGTGCACTCAACGGGAACACAGTAGGTCTGCAGCACGCATCCATCTACCCGGCATGCTCTCTTGTTATTCTACAGATTACGTGGCCAGTCATCAAAGGCGCCACACCACCTCCCTGCGATTTGTCACAAGTGGGCACCAGCAGGTAGCTGCTGTAGGGCCCTGAGAGACAAAGCAGACTGAATTAGGTTTGGGACAAGGCCCTCACAGCTGATGAGCAACGGATGGCACTAAGGACGGAGGAGGCCACGTTTTTAGCTTGTTTCCAAGGGGCCAGGGTGGCCTAAGCCCTCACGCAGACCCGATTCAATACTGGATCCGCGAGGCTGGGAGAATGGATGTGCCCTGGGCTGCGCTGTCCAGCGTGGGGGCCCACCTCCCCGTGGCCACATGACTAGTGCAACCAAGTGACTGCACTATAAATCTTTATCCTTCTGCTTACGTTCAATTCCAATTGAAACCGCCTCCCCCCCCCCCACACACACACATACACTTCTTCAGCTACTGGAAAATGGCCCGGTGTGATTGGGCCGTGTTGAGTATACGGGGCCCCTTTCTCACGCTGTAAACTTTATGCCCACACCCGATGGAAGCCTGGCATGCCCAATGAAGATGTGCTCTGGTGTGCTACACGAGGAGTTCAAAGACTCCGGCGTATGCGGAATGGAGGCCGTGGAGTTCAAAGACTCCGGCGCACCTGGAACAGAGGCTGTGGTGACGCCTTGTTAGCACTGATTTGGATTCAATGCAGCGCAGCCCAATACTTTTACTACATCCTGTCAACAGTGTTCCTGCTCTTTCTATTCGTGGTGAGTCAATGTCTCTGAGAGCGGCTCCCTTCGGTCCCTCCTACGTGCTCATGGTAGCTATGGCAGGACTGGTTATAGGATGATGGGAAGTCCTGTGTATATGTCAACAAAGCACCGTCGGCCAATAGGGAAGCAAGATAGGTAGGACTAGGAGTCGAGGAGGACTCTGGGAAGGAGAAACACAGGGAGTCATCATGTAACTGCCATAGGGATAAGAAGTCTGGACCGTTTTCTCTGGTAAGAGAAATACTTAGGTTAACAATTACGGAGTAAATATATAAATCAGAGCTAGCCAGTAAGAAACAAGCAAGGCCAACAGCTTCATAATTAATATAGCGTCCTGTGTGTTCATTTGGGATTGATGCGGCTCCGGGACCAGGCTGGTGGGAAGGCTTCTCTCTACAATAGGGGAAACACAAAAGCACTGTAAACAGTGAGGCATCCCATTGCCAGGTGATAAAAATGAGCCCTTCCATAAATATTCATTGATGAAATACACTTGAAGCTTCTTCCACAGATGTGTGCTACCAGAAAGCTGTGGTTGCATTTGGGTGGGACGTCTTCCCCAGAAGCGATTTTGGGAGAAAGACACTGTCTCGTAGACGGTACACAGACCATTGGTACCCTGACCTATAACCTCCCTCAAGCCTCATTGTTTAGTTATAAACAAATGTCCTTACATCTTAACTTACAAGAACTGTAAATACTGATAACACTGTAAATACTACCTTACCCAACTGCCCCCATGACAGTGGAAACTCTTATGGAATTTGCTTTGTGCACATGATACATTTTGGCTGTCCTATAACTTCGGGCAAGCATCATCTTTTAGTTATAAACAAATTGTCGTTACTTCTTAACTTACAAGAACTGTAGCACTGTAAATACCGCCTTAACCCACCTGTCCCCCACCACAGTGGAAACTCTT